CTTTACTTATATGTGTTTAAGTTCTTCTTATATACATTGCATGCGTTGTCGCGTTATGCTTCACTTACATGTGTTTACCTTCATAGCATTGTTATGCTTGTTTCAAATTGTATTGTCATGCGTTCTATTCGACTTGCGTTGTCATGCACTTTCAATTGCATTGTTATGCATATTGCTAACGATATTGTACCTGTTAAGTTTTCTTTCTCTTTCAAGCACGATATTGTATGTACGGTTCATTTGAAGCTTGTGCAACCAGACGAACCGCACAGGTATTGTATTCTCCACATGAAACGTAGCGAGAATTACATAATTCTCTTACATCCTTTCTGCATTGTAATGTAGTTGGATTTGTGTTTGATTGCTTAAAACTGTTGCATGATATGCTTCGTTACAGCTTTCTTTGCATGATCATAAGTTATGCTCGGCTTCTCGCATTGTCAGTCGCATTTTGCTCCTGCCTTCGGGCGCATATCTTATCTGTAGCCTGTGTGCTTGTCTAAGTCTTCGGTCTTGTCAAAAATGGGTCGTCTCTGGGCTTTGACACTCACTCCCGTCATTGTTATGACTTTCGAGTTCTGTCAAAGAGGGGCAACTGTAGACACCCCATTTTTGACCGTCCTCAAGACTTGGACGTCACCGTTTGAACGCTCGGTGATCATCCCTGTTCGTGTTTGTTTTGAGTTCCCGGAGGCCTCGGCTACACGCCTTGCCTCAGGATCTCTTGACTTGCTTGATTTGCGCTTGGTTTTGCACCAAAAACTTGTGCATTTTTATACCTGAGGGTAGAGAGTAGCTTGTTAGCTGCCCCTGACCCCCACCGGCCTTGGCTTGAGGCCATCGGCCGTGTATTCTTGATACTGGCCATCAGTGAAATATACCATTGGCCGGTCGGCACTTGGTGTGGTCGGCTGACCATCTGTTTGGTTGATGGCCTCCTTTTCTGGCCGGTACCACCTTTTTGCCTTTTTCAGGTGTGGTGCATGCCAGCTGTGCCAGCTGGAATGCACAAACCTTGCCCCCGTGCACATCTGTGGCTGTTTTTGCCCCTTTTTGCACCTTTTTGGTCTAGCTTCTTGAGGAAGCTTGGACCTTTGTCATAGCTTCCTCAAGAAGCTTGGACCCTGCCTCAGCTTCCTCAGGAAGCCTTGGCCCAGAAGCCTTGGCTTCTTGAAGAAGCCTTGATCCTTTTAATTAGCTTCTCTTGGAAGCTTAGCTTTTTTGATGGTCTATATAAGGAGACAAACCCTCTCCTTGTTTTTGGTTTAGCAAAATCAGACCCAGAACATATATATTCTGATACATATATCTTCTCTCTCTATATCTCCCTCTGTCTCTTCATTTGTGTGTGTTTGAGGGCCTAAAAGGGTGATTTGTTCTTACTTTTGCACTAAAACACACACCATTACACCATACTTCAACTTTGGGAGGTGTTGAGGGCTTATTCTTGAGGTTTTGAGCTGGTTTTGATCAGAAGAAGGTGGCTGGACTTACTGTTCTTGACGTGTTCTTCAAGGGTAACACTTTTGCTTTAGATTCTCTAATCTTGCACTAGCTTTTGACCTACTTTGCATACTGATTTGAGCTTCATGTATAACTGAAAAAAGTCTTGTATTTTCATGCTTAAGATACTTCATTAAGGTTGTTTTGGTATTGGGGGTCGACCTCCCCTTCTTAGGCCTTGTTTGGCCCTTTTTGTGCTTTCTTCGTTGAGCCTTGGTTATCTTTGTGTATTGGCCTTCTCACCACTGAAATCCAGTGGATTTTCAGTGGTGAAGAAGAGGTTTTGAGGTCTTGCATAGGGGAGGGACACCCCTCTCCCTTTGTCTCTCTTTTGTCCTTGTTTTTGGCTCATAAGGGTAGCATGCATGATTAGTTGTTCTTGGCTTCATTTCAGAGGTTTTTGGGTGTTTTTGGGTCATATTATGCCTCTGTTTTGGGTCGGATTAATGGCCTCTTTCATGTTTAATATACTTGCTTTGTATTCCTCTCTTTGGCCTAGAAGTGCATCATGCATTTAACCTACTATGTTCTCATGTTTTGGCCTAACTTGGTGAAGTTCTTAGCCGTGTCTTACCATGCTTAAGGTCTGTTGGGAGCTTATTTGATTATATTTGCCATGTTTGGTATAGCCCATTTGTATTTTGGCTTGTGAGCCTTGAGGGTGTGAGTCATGAGCATGCTTGAGTTTTGTTGTTTCAGTGGTTTGAAGTCATTTCCCATGCTATTTTAGTCCATAACCCATGCTCATATGATTGCATTTATCATCTCTTTCATGCCTTGAAGAGTTGTTTTGTTGTGCCTTGAAATGAGCATTGTGCATGCTTAAGTGTTTAAGTCTTTGGGGCTGCCATATCAGTGGGTTTTGGGGGCTCATTTTGCATGTTGAAACTCTGTTTTTGGTTGTTTAATTCGTACCATGTGTGGTCATGATAGTGGTGGAATGCTCTTTTTTTTGTGCCTTAGTCTTAGGCTTATTGATGTGCATGTTTGCATGAACATTTGTCCACCATTTACACCCTCTTTGGCCACTGTTTTGGAGAGGGCTGAGGCCTTCTCATTTCAGCATAAGTCCATCCTAGCATATTTTGCATGTTTGGTATGTTACATTGTATTGGTTGCACGCTTACATTGCATTACATTTGCATGTTTGCATGTTGTTTAGCTAGTTGCATTGCATGTTTGGACATTGCATGCTTGCATGATAGATTGCATTACATTTGGCATGTTTTGCATCTTAGCCTTATGTTGCATAACTTGAGCCATGATTGTATACATGCATTGCATTGCTTGGTTTGGGGTGTCAAGCCAAGCATGAGAGGTGAGGTGTGTTCGTACTCAAAGTGACGAAACACGTCTCAACCCTTGGGTCGCCAATGCCCTTGATCCCAATATGATAGGGTGTTGGCATTCATCTCTTTTGTTGCATGCATTTTACATTGAATGGAAAACTTGGCCTCTTAGGCCATCATGCATCAAAATGCATAATTGATGGCCCGAGGGCCGAGGGTCATGCTCCCTTGAGTCCATTGCATGATGGGGGGTGTAGCCATGCTCACATTTGCTTGAAAATTCCATGCCATACACTGCTTGCCCTCTGTTGCTGTCAACTGCAGGATTTTGCAGGAAGAAATAGCCAGCCGGCTACTTTGAGTGCCAACCGACCAAATACAATTAGCCGGTGGCTCAACCAATGGTCGATGACCATTCCCTTCGGCCGGTGGTGTTCCCACTTGGCCGGTGATGCTCCCCAGTGTTCAGAGAAGCATCCTTGGGACTTGTGCAAATTTTCAGAGGAGCAGGGCAGTGTAAACAGAGGCAACAGTGGCATGGTACGGGTTTCCGGGCGAGACGAGTCAAGCATGCACCATTTGCGCATTCCGAGGCTGGGCTGCGGCCATCTTCCTTCTATATATAATTCGTTAATTAATTAGAAGTTCTGTAATAATTAATTTAGCAGTATTCATTTGGTTGTGTAATATTTTTTGGACCCTCCAAGTGGGGGCAATTGTGTAATAAGTGTGTGTGAGTGTGTGTATGTCTTCCAACCCCACTTCTTTCTTCCCTTTTATTTACTAGATTTCGATGGTTAGTATTAGGACATATTTAAATTAGCATACCTTATGTTATGCATGCGTGCATTCACCCATTTGTCTTGCATGCACCGGGCTCGGCGCATCATACTAACTGCATTCGTGCTCCAATTCCAAATTGAATACATGTTAGTTGTAGCATTTCGCATGCCATTTTAGAATAGTCGAGCCTATTGTATTTTCATTCTTGCATGTGTTGCATTAGGCATTTCTGTATAGTTAGGATCATGCATGGATTTCTAACATAGCTTTTGTTTTGGCTTGGAGTACTCGGTAAGCTTTTACGCTTTAGCATCCTTGCATGCGTGTGAATGTTGCCATGACAGCATGATTACCATGAGGCTATTTGCTTATGTGATATAACTGCTTGAATGTCTGTGGATAGAGGTTGAATTACCTGAATTGGAATAATTCATTAAAACCATGAGTTTTAAGCCCACTTGATAGTGGCAAAAACCATCTTTTCGAAAAGCTCACTTGAGGGTGGCAAAACCTGCATTTTAGCCTACTTACGAGTAGCAAACTGCTTTAAAAAACAAACATAAAATGTTTTGTTCTAACTCAGGCGATTCAGTCTATACTTGTATGCTGTGCGCATCACATAGTAAATCTAGGCTAATAACCAGAATAAGAACGCATAATGTTTTCAAAACAAGATATCATGATTAGTAGAGGCCGATCTTTGGATCGGGCGAGAGGGGGTGCTCATAGCTGACCTTCCCCAATCGTACCCAAGTTCCCGAGCTGAGGCAACTCTGGTGATGACGGACACGTAGCCTTAGGCAAACGAGTCAGGGTTTCCTAAATTCTCCTCAAATAAAATATTTAGGTGGCGACTCTGTATCTGGCAAAGCAGTCCATGTTTGGCACTTCTTTACAAAAAACCTGTTTTTCAAGACGATTTGTCAGATTTGGACTCTTTGGTTCAGATTAAGAACCGTGACAATTAGAGTCCGAACTGTAGTGAGCCCAATATGAACAGAACGGGATTCATCCTCCCGGGGCGTTTGGGGATGTCTACACTAACATGATCCTTTCTTTATGTTTTCTTCCTTAAATTTTGATAAGTACAGAGTTCACAAAGGATTGGATCAGTAACTTCTCTCTTGTTTCTCAGATTACAACCTGAAAGCGCTCCCTAAGAAAAATCCCTTGGATGGTCACTACTTAGCAACATACTGATTCTTTCTTTCACACGTGTTTGGCTAGAGCAACGATCTAAAACAAGGCCGCCAATCTAGGATAAAAACAAATGCAAATTCACCTAGTTGGTGTGTCTACTATTAAGAAATAAATGGAAGGAAAAAACAAATCCTATGCCAAATGGAAACATTAGAAGTTACTGAATGAAGAGTGCAATAACAAACTACAATAGAGATATGTGAAAGATTTTGAGATGAGGAAAACCTGATTTAAACCGTCTGAAAGAACTTTCTCGAAAACTCCAAATGGTAGGTCAACCGAGGTAGGAATCCCAACCCATGAAAGCACTTTTCCTTTTAGATATCCAATATTACGTGATTTAGCTCCAACCTGTGAAAATCAACATTCTGTAACTTACACAAACTGTTTAGAAAAAAGAGAAAACTCCTCAAATATAAATGAAATTTGACAATACAATCCTAACCACTTCACTAGTGAACTCCTCAGATGATATGGCATATCTGCCACCAAACTGCTTTTTGACCAATTTTATAGAGGGCAAAGGGCCTTGTTTGTTCAAGTTTGTTGAACTTGCACTTGTTAAGCCATCCTCCACCTTGCTGGGGTTAAGCACAAGAAAGAAAGAGAATTAATATTGGTTTCTTGTGTATTTTGGATTTTTAGTGGAGCAATGAATATTTTTATTTGTAGATTATATGAAAATGTATTCACACCTAAAGAAAAGTAAATGAAAAAATGGACTACAATTTTTAGTGGCAGCCAAAGAACTGGTGGCCAAGAAGATGGTCCTGCTTCTTGGGACAATTCTTTCAGGGAGGATAAATATGTAGCAAAGGAGAAGGTTGTAGGTGGGATGGTGGATAATCTTTCAATTGATGTTTCAGATGGCTCCAATGTTGGAGAAAATGTTTTTAGTGAACAAAATTTTCTAACACGCAACTGGTGGCCAAGAAGATGTGAGTGGCGTTGGTGGTTTGGCATTAAACAATCCTTTATGTGAAAGTGAAACTAAGAGCATGGCCGAGGAGGTTGATCAAGCGCATGGTTCTTTGCATTATGTAATGTCATGGTCCAGTGTGCTGGTGAGTATGGAGAACAACAAAACTCCAGCCAGGCTTCTACATTAAAACATGCAATAAATGATGATTGTGCTGCTTATCATAGTTAGTTCCTACTTCTTTACACATATAAGGTTTTTAACTAGTATTGGATTTTATTATTCTTTTCATCATTCTCTTTGATTTAATTTTGTTGGCTGTATCTTCATAGCTAATGATTTTTTTTTTCCAGGGACAATGGATTATGTAGCCTCGCAACATAGTTTTGATTTCAGCATTTCAGATATCAATCTGCTTTTAGGAAATGAAGTTATGAAATCAACTTCAGATTTCAACATTTCAGATATCAATCTGTTTTTAGGAGATGAAGTTATGAAATCAAGTTCAGAAATCTCAGAAACTAATTCTACATGCGAGGATAATACTGTGCTAGTGTGACGAAAGAAAATGAACCAAATGGCAGTTTTGTTTCAGATGAGTCTATCTATGAAATTGATAAAGTTTTGATGAAGGAAAAAGATTGTGGCCAAGAAGGCCAGTGATTGCAGATATTCTAAGAATGAATTAGTTGAGGTTGAGAAATCTAGCATTTGTATAGATGAACCAGCTGGCTCAGTTGATCTGAGACTAGATGATTTCAAATCTTTAGAAGAGGGGAGTATTACCATGATGTTGGGTGGAGGTCACAGAAGTGAAGAAAGGGTCAGAGAAGCAGCAGAACTGCATGAAAATGTTTTGAAATCAAATTCAATGATGGAAGATCAGTCATCTCAATTCACTAAATTAGCTGTTGACGGAGGTATTCAGAGCTTCATTAAGAGCTCTAATCATAGATTTTATCTGTATTTTATTATTGAACATATCGACATCTATCATCAATGAATGGTTGGTCTTGTTATTTCCTTTTCAGGCACTGCTGCTGCTGAAGACGCCACCGAGATGTAGAGACCAAATTCAAGATCAGTTGAAGTGAAAAACTCACTTACCAAATTGAATTCAACAATTACAAGGAAGAATGAACAAAGTAGTTTGATTCAAAAAACACCCAAGAAGCCAATGACACTTGACATGAAAGAGAATGCACCACCAAGCATCAAGAGAGAGCATTTGGGTAGTACAATTGTGAGATTAACGACAATGAGGCATGCTCTTGGGTGCCACTCATGAATCTTTTTTTTGAGAATCAACGAGTGAAAAAAAGAATTCCGGAGCCCTGTAATTAGTGTGCAGGCATATCTCATGCAAAAGTAATGCGACTTTTTTGGTGGTTTTGACAAATTTTTATGTTGTAATTACAGATTACTTGTAACAAAATTCCCAAACCCAGGAATTGGGGCCAAAATACCCACTAATCATTAATGATGCCATTTTGGTATTAACAAGACAAGACTAACAAAACAATCTGAAAACCCTACATACACTGATTGATTTTACTAATGGGTTGGTTTCAACAAAAAATGAAGAAATGTTTACCAGGCAGTGTCGGTAGAGGATTTCTTGATGGCGAGGCGAGACCAAGTGACAACCTTGCTGGAGCTGAGGGGCTTAATTTGGACAGGTGTAACGACGATGCCGATGAGCTGTACAGAGTTACAGAGCTCCTTCTTCCACTGAAATGCTCTCTTTAGAACAAGAAGAGTATGGGAAAAAGGAGTAAGGGAAATCAAAGAGAAAAAGCGAGAAAGAGAGAGATAGACAGAGAGAGACAGACGCTTGAAAAAATATACCTACATAACGGTGGCGAGGCGAAGACGAACGGCAGCGCTGACGGTAGGGAGGCGAGGACGGCGGACGGCAGCGTTAATGGTAAAGAGGCGAAATGAGTGGCGCGACTGAGAGGGTGGGATCGATTGGGTGCGTTTTTGTGAAATATTATAAGGGTTTGAGTTTGTTTTCCCCTACAACAGTGTTGGTCGACTATTTGGATTCTGTACATTTAACAAGCAAAACGACGTCGTTTTGAAATCTACGACTAAATTGCAATAGTCGCTAAAAGATTTTAGTCTCCTTTCCAGTGTTTCACTTTCCCGCCTAAATTTCTGGCGACCAATATTTCAAATTATTCGTGAAAAATCACTTTTTAGCGACTAAATTACTTTAGTCAGTAAAAGTATAAACTTTTGCATACCAATTTTTTCCTAGTAGCCAAATGTGATTTTTTTGCAACCAAAAGATTTTTGGTCGGCAAAAGTGGTCAGTAAATGTGTTATTTCTTGTAGTGACAACGTTTGTGTTTGATAGCTATCACAGGCATATATATATATAGGCTTGGACCCATATCCAAGTGTAACTCCTTATAACTTCCCACCATCGGGGAAGTTGTAACTTCCCATGAAACCACCATAGTTACCCATTACCCATTAAACTGATTAAATATATATATATATATATATAAATAAAACAAACATATGGCATATAGGCCACTTTATGGATATTCTTACATTCTCCCACTTGGCACATATAACATATGTTGTTGACTGTCGAGTAACTAACAAACTGATTATGGCCATCAAATAAAAATACCCAAACCTTAGAGTTATAATACATGAATCATGGCTATTATACTCTATCAATTGAGTATTTCCTTCCATATATTACATTGTATGATACTCTCAATTTTATGTGGTGTCATTCTTTATGAATAACTTCTAATAAGTTATTTGTCCCAATGGATTGGATAACATCACAAATGCTTTAGGTGCACAAAATGATGATTTTCACTAATAATAATCAAAATGTCATGACAAAATAAAACAAAACAAAACAACAACTAGAAAAATTATGGAGCTAAGCAATCAGTCTCATGCCCTCAACGTGTTTTGAAAACACCTTTACAGAAAGACCTTTGGTCATGAGATCTACAACCATCATATTGGTACTAATATGCTCAATGCTGACTTCTTGCTTCTTAACATGGTCTCGAACAATAAGATACTTTATGTCAATATGCTTGCTTCGGTTGCCACTTTTGTTATTGTTAGAGAAGAAAACCGTAGCTAAATTATCACAGTAAACCTTTGATGGCCTAGAAATTGAATCCACAATTTGAAGCCCTGTGATAAAATTCCTTAACCAGATAGCCTTTGATGTTGCTTCAAAACATGTTATAAACTCTGTTTCCATTGTTGACGATGCAATTATCGTCTCTTTGGTGCTCTTCCATGAAATAGCACTGCCTGCTAGTAGATAGACATATCCTAAAGTGGATTTTCTAGAATCTTGACAACTCGCAAAATTCAAGTATGAATATCCAACCATCTCAAGATAGTCAACATGCTTGTAAGTAAGCATGTAGTCCTTGGTTCCCTTTAAGTACCTCATGATTTTATTTGCAGCCTTCCAATGCTCCATTCCTGGATTTATTTGGTATCTGCCAAGCATCCCAATTGCAAATGCAATGTCAGGTCATGTACAAACCAGAGCATGCATTAAACTGCCTACAACAGACGCATAGGTGTAGCCCGACTTTCCGCGCTCCTTTTGGAAGGCGAATAGCCCTACAGTTCGGACTCCACTTGTGGTTCTGAATTTGATTTCATAAGTGCAATGTTAAATAGTGAAAACACAAAAAGAGTCTAAATCCGACAATTCTTTTTGAAAAATCAATGTTCGAATCAAATGCCAAAAATGGACTGCTTTGCCAGATTACAGAGTCACCACCTAAATATTTTTGAGAAATTTAAAAAACTCGAGACTCGTGCCAAAAGCCATTAGTCCGTCATCATCAAAGTGTCTCGGCTCGGGAATTTAGGTACGAGAGGGGAAGGTCATGAATTGAGCACCCCACTTGCCTGATCAAAGATCGGACTCTACTAATTATGATGTGATTTTTATTTACATTATATGTTCTTGTTTTGATTTATTAGCTATATTACTATGTGATGCGCACACAAGGTATAGACTAGTTTGGAAGATTTGGGACACTTGATCTCAAGTTTTGTTTTGAAATTGTTTTGTGAATTTGCCACTTGAAAATGTGGGCAAAAAATGGACATTAATCAAACTATCCCAAGTCAAGTAACTAGCCTTCATCCATAGGCATTCAAACAGTTATATCATTTAAGCAATTAGCCTCATGGTATTCATGGTTTGGACATGGCAGCACAAACATTCGCTGCAAGATGCTAAGACATAAAAATGCCCACCTAGTACTCCAAAGCGAGCCAAAACAAACAAAAGAGTTAGAAAAAATGCATGATCCTAACTATGAAATATGACTAGTGCAATACATGCAATATGAAATTATTAGGCTTGGCTACTAATATGGCATACGAATCAATTTGACAACATGCGGTTTAAGCACGTATTCAAAGAATTGTTTAACTAACAATGTAAATTAGAATGGTGTGTCAAGCCTTGGTGCATGCAAGATAAGTGGATGCAAGGCATGAGAGATGCTAAATAAAACATGATGCCCTAAACTAACCAACATAAGCTAGTAAATAAAAGAGAGAAATATGTGGGGTTGGAAGACATGCACATTATTACAAGTTTGGGCCTTCACGAAGGAGGGTTCGAATCAAAGTCCAAAAGTCCAAATTAAACTAATTATTACAAAACTGAATGAATAAATAAGCAAGGCTAACTAACTAGCTAACTATGCTATTGTAACAAGGATAACCATGATAAGTAAACTAGCTATTTAAGCTAATTAACTACAACAATTGCAAAGGGACAACAATAATAATTACAACATTAATGATTAATGACACTAATTACAATAGACAATATTAAATTAACTACAACGACGATCATGATGTAAGCGAGGATGCGCAAGGATTGCATGCATGCACATGCACAATGTTCAAGAATAGCTCTGTCTGCCCCATGGCTTGCTCTGCTTCGCCTCAGCCACTGCCCTTTGCTTTTGCAAAAATACACTGTTGACCAAACATTAAGGACCGGCTGGCCCTCAATTAAGCCCGGCCGAGCCTAAAGAAGGCTGGCCGTGCCTTAATTTTGTGCAAAACTCAGTTTTGTGTTTTGAAATGAAAACAGTGCAGACATAGTTGTCCAAGCTCTGTTTGTCCCTTCCTTCCTTCTTTGTCATGGAAAAGCCTTGAGAGAAGGTTAGAATTGTTTCCAAAACCATCAATGAGCAAGTTGATTGCTTGATGAGTTTAGATACA